GTTACAATTTTTTAAACTTTTGGAGAAAACTCGGTTTAAATAACAATTTTTTCTTCAAATTTATTTGTAATTTGTAATAAACGATTTCATGATTTAATTGTGGTGAAAATACAATTCTAATTACATAATTATATAAATAATTGTGATTGTAATTAAATCAAGGTGGAATTTTCCAAGAGTCTGGGGTAAACTCTAAAATGTAATGGGCATGCCATTTGAGGATAAAATCATAAAATTTCGGAATTCACTGAAAATCATGTATAATTGCAAAATTTAAAAATTCAAAAGTTCCGTGTGAGCTTTTCACTACGAGGGAATAATGCAACTGATATTTCTCTTTATATTTCCCCCTAAATCCTCAATTTTCGGTGACGGAATTCAATTGTGACTAGAAAATATACAATTTAATTCCAAATTAATGAATTATTAATGAAGATAAATGAAGAAAAATAATTTCTTTCTCAAGTATATTTACTAATTATAAAAAAATATATACGGCATCAGCATGGCGTATGGAAGTTTTTATACAAATTTCCAGGTGGAAAATAAACGTATGCAGCAAAACCTGAAATTTTGTCGATGTAATTGTCCAATTATTCGACTTACGCATGTCCAATTGCTCTGTCTGACGACGACGACGAGCACCGGGCGATGTATCACCTCCATATCGTCCCGATTACCACAAAAATCTCGAAGTAATCTCACACTTGCACAAACGATAATAACCCCGAAAAGTCAATAACAACGAGCACATAAATTTCCAGATATTCACCGAAAAATGACCGAATAATTTGTGGAGTACCGGACAGCTCTTGAGGTGGTTACGTTACTAAGAGTGACATGGGCTTGCACGTATACATTTATCTGGGAGGTAGTTCGAGCGACACAAGAGGTCATCAACAACCGAAGAGGGAGGGAAACCACAAGTAAAGCATTACTATTACAACTGAAACACAAACGTGGGGGAGGAGAGCTACAAAAAAAAATCCAAGAAACGAGTGGAGGTGGATCAAGCGTGCGCGACACAGAAAAAAAATAATAGGAAAAGAGAATAGAACAGGTGAAAATGAAAAGAGGGAGAATATGACAGAAGTAGGGAGGAGGTCAATTGCAACATCGTGGCTAGTTTTTCTCACGTCTTCTCTGTCGCACGAGTCCATCCCACCTGAAGACTCTACCTCAGAGGAACCATTGTTCAGAGGCTTGAGGAGACAAGTTGGAAAATAGAGGAATTATAAGAGAATCGTCGATTTTCAACAGCTCCTGAGGATTTAATCATTACAGGAAGTGATGCATTATAAGATCTTTCATTCAATCTCGGAGTCATCGGATGAATCAGAGAGTAATTACTACTCTCTGGGGGTCGGTGAGAACATGTGAAATGATTCGCCGTGTTATTCTCTACTGAGAAAAAAATAGGTTTTCGTCAAATATTCATTTACTTCGCCAGTCTAGGTACCTAGAGACGATACTGATCAGGTTTTAATTATCATTATCGTTTTCCTCTGATGATCATGCTGGATATGACCTTGGGTGGACTCACGAATTTTTCATTAATTTTTTATTAATTTTTAATTATTCTAGGAAATAAATTTACACGATTTTTTTAATGGATAATTTTTTTCAGCATTTTTATGTTGGACTTTACAGATTTCTTTTGAATTTTGGATAATTACAGAAAATAATTGAGATTATACAATATTATTGTACATTGCATTTCGTTTGTGGTAATTTTTCAATTGAGAGTGACAATACTTTTTTGATATAAAGGGATAAGACTCTCAGCCTTCAAATTTTTTGAGTTCCCAAACATAAAGAATTGTTGTTGATTTAAAAATAGTTTCCAAGACCGCGATTTTCTGCGGTGTCATGGGAGCAGAATTGCGCTAATAATTTCGTGTTTCCCATGCTCGTGATATAAGAAATTCCAAAAGGCGAGACTTCCCCATTAAAATACAGTATTTTCCGTGGAACTCGAGCAATTAAGTAACCGCGAGTTCCACCTGCCCTTGACCGTTCTCATATGATTCATGACGGCTGCATTCATGACTAGGTGATGTGAGAAATCGTAATGCCGATCCCCTTATTAACATATCAACAAACATCACTAGGAAGTGGGGGAATCCGAGCGAAAAAGTCTTGGTTGAAAAAAAAAAGGATAAAAGAAGGTGCGGCCACGTTGATGACGACCTGACTCTCACGATGATCTGGAACGCACCAGTGGATTATGAACATGACTGCATCGGCCGGTAGTATCGGAAGACCTTGACGTCCTCAGCATGATGATTTACGTATATTTCTTACATGTGTAATGGCACAAACTGACACGAGTGGCGTAACAAATAGAGACTATCATCCATAAAAACACGAACATTTCCCCTATTTTCTCTTCGTTCTGGATTTGTTTATTCAACCGCAATTTTTTAACACCGGAAATAACAATTCACTATTAGAAGAAACAGCAGAAATTAATTGATAGTTTACGATTATAATTTTTAACTTATCACCTGCATATTGTTAATAATATTTTTATTCTATATATTATTATATTTGTTATAG